GTAATAAAGATTGAATAATTATTGAGAGCAAAGCCAGATTGGATTAAAAAATATTGAATAATTATTGAAAGCAAAGCCATGTTTCTCAATTTTTAAGTTCAGAGTTTAATACTAACAATGGGCTGACAGAAATAGGAATAACAGTGGTGGCAATTCATTAGGTCACATGACTTAAAATGTTATTCTTAAATATAGCAGTAAGGAAGTGAAACATACCTTGATTGCTAGGTTATAGAGGATTTGACCAGCTGTACCATAGCTTGAATCATCTACATATTGAGTTCCTCCGGGGAATAAAATCCTGTGTTTTATAAAAATTAAACTATACGATGAATATATATAGTCACATCAGATGTTACATGATCATGAATAGCCTCATCCATCTGATGAGCCCGTGACCCTAGGATAAGGGTGAATTTTCAAAATCTCAGTTGTAACGTACACTATCAGTGAGTCTACCAACGTTTTTTTTTTTGGAGGGGTGAGGGTGGTACAACAAATTACAATTCTATAGTTAGTTCCATAATATAAAACTAACTCGATCACTGTCTCTCTTTCATATCTTTATGATATTAAAAACAAGAATTAATTTGTTTCCATAGTTTGATGAACAATATCAGGGGATATTATATGAATAGTTGAGGTGTCAACATACCCATTGATGGAATTGAACAAATTTGTATAATAATCATTTGTTTGATTGACAGGTATAAGTACAGCCCTAGCACCACCGGATTCCAAGAATTTCACATAGGATGCTGCTATGTATGACGGTCCATATTTAGCGAGCTGGTCATATGACTTTTGTGACAAAATACCTGTTGAGAGCAGACAAAACAATTGAATCTAATAGTTATGCTTAAGGTATGAATATATATAAATAAATATTCAGAAATTGTATACTTTGGTATAAGCACATTCAAGTATTAAATTGAAACATATCTCACCTTTAAGAACATTTATATTTGTCAAGCTTCAAAAACCTATCCTAGAGTGAATTCTACAGCTTTTTCATTTATAAAATAATTGAGATCATGTTTACACCTCAATGGTTCATGATTTTCATCCAGATTTTTAAAATATTAATAAATTAAATTATGCTTATTTGTTAAGTTTTTAAATGCATACTTTTAATGTTTTGGTCAAACAACAGTATGCACATTTGGATGTACATGTAATGTATTTTATTTATTGGCTCATTGTAACCTTTTTACCACCAGTTTTCTCTTTTCATCACAAGTTCACTAAATACGATGATAGTTTATAGTCTGCACTTTCCTTCAGAAAATTGGGACAAAAATAGCCAAATTTTTTAGTAAAAACTGAAAAATTTACTCAAATTTTGTCTGTTGGCTCCAAAATTACGGTTCATTTTTCCAGTAATATTGAAGAATATCAGAAACAAAAAGCAGACAAATTTGGGCGAGAAAGTCTGGTGGTGAAAAAGATAATAATGAGGTCCACTAAGCTCAAAGCAGCTTAAGATACTTATAAGTTTATTATGTTTGTGTTTTAATTTTGATAATTTCTTTTGAAATTATAATAATACTCATTTAAGTTCATTTAACCCTCTTTTTTATATATATTAATATATATTTAAGGAAGAAATGCTAACAAAATCATAATATATTTGCAAAAAAAAAATGATAGTGTTCATGGTTCAATATATAACTACCTTTCCAAACTCTATAAATCTATTTGTATAGAAACATTACCAGTAAACTTAGTAGAGGTGTATATTAATTGGACAGTGTCTGTCTGTATGGTGAAGATATGTACATGGCAGTATAGGCAAACAGGCAATACGTTTGGGAATGATGATCACCTTCTTTTAACTAGATTCACTGAGTGATTAAGGGCAACAACTAAATTGTTATTAATTTAACGTAAACAAAAATAATCTATATAATCTATAATGACTATAAGCCAGTATACAAATGATTTAAAGTCATTTTGAATCACTTTTGAAAATGTGTGTATAGTATGTAAGAATCACAGTGAACATTTTTGTAGGAGTGCTTATTGCAAAATTGTGTTGCATGTTTTTTGTTATTTTGAATACAGAAATAATTTTGTTTATTCAAGTGAACATTCCCATGTGTTTATTGTGTTTAATCCCATGTTCATATGTTTTAATGATGAGCACAATTAGAACTCATGCAGAATGTAATCTACATTGTGTATAAGAGTTGGATATGCTTATCTTATAATAATAATAATAATAATAATAATAATAATAATAATAATAATAATAATAATAATAATAATAATAATAAGCCAAACTGATGAATATTTATACAGAATATTTGAAATCATAAATTACAATAACTGACATATTTTATTTCTGTCAACCAGCGGAAAATTTGTGTTTGTGTTTATATTTTTTACAAAATATTATTACATTTTTAATACCATTTTTAGATTTGTCTTGCTCAGTTTGCCATCATAATTGAACGTTTTACCAGTAAGAGCAATATATAATGCCATTTTCGATTGGACTGAAGTAAAAAGTAAGATAGGATATTTTATTTGAAACTCATACAACACAAGTTCATACCATGGACCTGTTAGTACGTCCAAGTTCATCCTAAAGTTCAATCCGATTAAAATCTGCAGTAGTAAGTAGTGGGTGGAGTATCTAATCGTCGTAGAAACGAGTAAAAATAATGAACGAAACGTTCAACCAACTCTATAAAATACCTATTATTGGTCTTGTGGTTTGCGCTTCTATTGATTCAGTGAACACGACACACACAACTGCAACACACACAAGACATTTATAGTTGGAAATCGGCGACATACGACATCCCCGTGTTGGAATCATGATTTCGCGTATCGTCGGTCGAATATTGCAGCATGTGATCAAGTGTCAGGTGATACTCAGAGGTCAGTAAAAGGTCATTGAAAACTAAAAGTTATTTTTTTTATGGTGACATTTGAATGTTGAAGTTTTAAAAAATTACTTCAAGTCGAAAAATGGTATATTTTTTTTTTAGTTATTGAAAAAAAGTTTTGTAATGCTGTATTCTTTCGATCGATCGAACAAGTGTTCGCACCTTGACAGTCAGAAGGACCAGACGAACATAATGGCGTCCTTAGGCGGAAGTATGTGCAGTGGTAGGTAACAATTAGCTGTGTTGTTTTCATATATTATGACCGCTCAGTTAGGATATTTTTATTTGATGATTTATATATCGTAGCTGTTAAACGTGCATTGTGGTTAGCAGTGTAAATGTTGCGCTCACTTTCAACTGTTGTGTTGATCAGACGAGCGCAACTACTGTACGTCAAGGTTTGCCGAACAGGGACCGAGCGTTGCCAGGCCTAATCACAAACAAGAACAGACAATAGTTTTCGGATCTCTCCCCCACGCGCTAATCAACGTTCGACGACGATATGGAAACAAACTTTTTCACTGACTTCCTGTTTCAGTCCTACTCCTTTTGGGTGATCGCCTGTCCGCATGCTACGTCCAATCCCGGCCCGCAATAAACACAGTCCATGCACCGAGTTCCTCAAGGCTAACTTTCATCTCAGCTGTCTATACTATAAAAAAAAAAAACTTGATTTGCTATGCTGGTGTACTATGTTCAGACATGACACCAGTTTTGTTCACCAAGTCAAACAAGCATTGTCAAAGCAAGGTCACATTGCTTGTAACCCTAAAAAGAGAATTCATTGGAAAATTAATTACCGGTAGTGTTTTTTTTAGGGCCAACTCTAGCTTCTTGATCATCACCCTGGTTCAACCCCTCACTCCAAAGAAATGATTGTTTACTGGATCATTAAAATTTGATATTTTTGACCATCTATGTAAGTGTATGGGCTTCTAATGGAGAAAATAGGGTATGCAGAATTGCTGTTTATTCAAAAGTTGCTTTCATTTAGTTTTGAGTTAATATAAAACAAACAATCAACACAGTTTGCACTGGGCTGGAACAATGTTTAGGGGTACATTTAAGGATTTAATTCACTATGACAAGGAAACATTTGCATGTTTGCATTAGGCTAAATTAACTCTGATTCAAAGTGATCGATATAGAAATTTTTACTACTAATAATAATTTGAAACTGAATGCTTTGTCAGCTGCTTTAGGGTTGGCGACATGAAGTCTGGGTGTGTCTTGAATGTATCAGAACAAACTTTATTGTAGCAATTAAAACAACTTCAATAACATTCAAAGCAATTGCTGTACATTAACTAGCAATGTTCCTAATAACTTACAGCAGTGCAGCAACATTCACATAAACAATATCGTTCAAAGAAAGACAGAAACGATAGTAAAAACACTTAGAAACATTATTTTCTTGACAAAGCTCTTTGAGCCTAAACATCAGTTTGATTGAAATAGAATCACATGAGTAGATGTTGTCCTTACTTAGTAGCATCAAATAGCATGACAAACTGTGTGCATTACTGGTGTCTTCTCTTACTACTTAATGATTGCAAGCAGTAAAAGATGTATAATGATAAGGTTATCATGAGAGTACCGCAAAGTATGCCCTCAGGTGGTACAGGATTGCATCAACCCTGGCTTTACATCAGTAGGAACAATCAATATATTCTTACGATATTCTCATAATAATTTTATTGCATATTTATCATTATAAAGCAGTAGACAAATTTACTTATGGCATTTAAAATTAAATCAATAAATAAAATTGTTCTCATAATCACTGTATCAGTTTTTAGACACCTCTAATATAATAATGTACCAGTAATGGTAATTTGTATGCAGAAAGCATTTAGGCAGCCTTCACATGATTATCACTTGAAGTGTTGCTCAGTTTCAGAAATCTTCAAGATGTATCGTGATTAGGTTGATTTACTAAAAATACTTTGCATGAACAGCAATTGACACAGATCAAATGCTGCCAAACGTGCACAGATGATAAAAGATCTTTTCAACCTCATTTGGATTGAGTTCTTAAAATTTGTCACTTTTGAGTGATTTTTTTTAACATTAAGGAAATTTACTTCTGTACAAACCCCTTACAAAACCTCAATCGTTATTATAAAATCTATTTTCTTTACTTGATTGATGAATCAAACAACTCATGAATAATAAATTAGATATGCATAGATTGAGATGCTGAATTGTTTAATCTCAATACACTGAGTTAGAAAAACATCAAGTTACAAAAATGACAACGCCCATATTAATTATAGAAACCATGTCCACTTTTGCAAAACCATGCAACATACTGTACTAGATTTTGTTAATGTTCACATTAAGCAAGTAAAACTTTAATTAACAGACAATCCATCATTGAGTTATAAAAGCGTAATATAGATTTTTTGTTATATAACTTCCACATTTAGTAACTCAAACATAGTTAGTTTGGTTGGTGTTGTAACTCATATTTTCTGTCCAAAAAAAACATTGTGTTATAATTTTGGGGAGGGTTTGCCAAAGTGAGCATGGTTTCTAAAATATGTACAGTAATTCAATGTTTTTGTTACTTCAACAATTCAGCATCTCACAGTTGATGCATATAGTTGTTCAGTATGATTCCACACACACAGATACACTGTATGGTATAGCTTTTGATAACTATTATCTATGAATTCAAAACTTATAAATTTATGAATGACATATTCCAGAAATTCATGGAATGGAGGGTACTACCAGTAACTAAGTCAATCCAATTGTCTTGCTTGAATTTGAATGACACTAATTTCAAATACAAACAGTTTCTTCAAATATATGCAAATATAAACATGCCTTTGTTGACTTATTATCTAATGTCCTTTGTTTAATTACTGCCTTCAAATTTATTGCATTACTGAGAGTTTTATCCCCCCCCCCATTGAACTCAAATGCACTGCCTCTGCTCAATTCATACCAGTGGTGAGATTGCTTGACTTACTAACTCCAGGAACTGACACATATCGTGTTTCACAGTAATAAATGCTACTTGTTGTAATTGCCATGATACAAGTTGATTGATATCTGCCTGTTTGTGTTTTGTGTTTCAGCTGTTTGTTTTTGTTTCATGCAAATGTGTTCTTTTCATCTTTTCCCATGATGCTATGTACAAAAACAGTACAAACATACTGCAAGGGTTCATTATTTGAATGATGAGATTAGAATTCCATCATGTTCAATGTTTGGTGAATAGTGTACCATAAACTAATCTTGCTAAATTTACGAGTCCGAAAATCATGCAATTGTCGGTCATGTTTTGGTAGTTTCTGATAATGTAAATGTTCCAACAGTTACTCATAATATCAGTGTTGTGACAATTGCTGATTATGTCAGTGTTCTGACAGTTCCTGGTAATATCAGTGTCCTGACAGTTCCTGGTAATATCAGTGTCCTGACAGTTCCTGATAATATAAATATTCTGACTGTTTCTGATAATATCAGTGTTCTGACAATCCTGGTAATATCAGTGCTTTGACAATTCCTGGTAATGTCAGTGTTCTGACTGTTTCTGATAATATCAGTGTTTTGACTGTTCATGATAATATCAGTGTTCTGACAGTTCCTGGAAATATCAGTGTTCTTACAGTTCCTGATAATATCAGTATTCTGATAGTTCCTGGTAATATCAGTGTTCTTACAGTTTCTGGTAATATCGGTGTTCTGACAGTTCCTGAAAATATCAGTGTTCTAACAGTTCCTGGTAATATCAGTATTCTGACAGTTCCTGGTAATATCGGTGTTCTGACAGTTCCTGATAATATCAGTGTCCTGAGAGTTCCTGGTAATATCAGTGTTCTGATAATCCTGGTAATATCAGTGTTCTGACAATTCCTGGTAATGTCAGCATTCTGATAGTTCCTGGAAATATCAGTGTTCTGACAA